TCCTCGAACGTCTGTTAGTCCCAGAAACGATACCATCTACCCAACGGGCGACGAAGGTCAGAAAATAAAGGCGGTTTTCTCTGAAAATGCTCCGTTGCAAAGCTGGAGCGCGAAAAGGCTAATATGCAAATACGCAACGGACGGGATGGCTTACCGCGGTCGTGCTCTGCGTACTTCAGAGGCACCAGAAGATGCAACACAGGGCGTGTATCGCCTCTCGCATGCTATCTAGTAGTGTAGTTAGCCCGGCGTCAGACTCTGCGCGAGCTGGCAAGAGACCACGAGTAGCAGCTAAAACTAAACCCAGCCCATCAATTAGTGGTGCATGCGTTTACTTACATGTGCGCGTCACAGTGCGCCGAGGGTTTGCACTTCAGTGCTTTTCATTATACTATGATCCATACTGTGAAATTATATTTTCACAGCCAAACCGGACAACGTTGTAGAGTAAACATGCCGCTCATGGAGAAATGCCTTCTTGAGTGGAAGGAAGGCCCTGCAAACTGCTTAACCCGTCCATACGTCCCTTTAATTACAGTATGATAAGTGGCACGGTCCTTAACTTACCTGGAGGACCTACTATAATATTATACATCCCCCTTGGCATTCTGTCATCACTGCTATGAGATTGCTATGAGATTGCTACGCAGCTTTGTCCATGGTATATGCCTTGTCTCTGTCTCTGAAGTGGCATGCATACCTCATGCAACCACCATGAGGATATCCCCAAACACTGTGTGAAGTGCCTGCTCCATACGTCCAAAGAATGCCAGGCATTTCACCAACTTGTATAATCATGCCTACCATTTCAAGTATATAAGTACGTGGGCTACACACTAGCGATGATTTACAATACTTGGACTGTGGAGGTGAGCCAAGTAGTCTGATAACAGCATTGGCACTAAAGGGGTCAGCGCTGTCCTCTCTCCTAATAAAGTCCACGCTGAGGTAATTAGTAGCCCAGCAAGCGAGACACATTTCTCCCTTTATGAATCAGCACACATGAATGGCCGGGAAATTGTAGCGACTATAACTATCGTGCACATGAATGGTAAGCCCAGTCGTATGCATCTCCTGTGCATGCACAGACCGTGGCCTGGCTGCTGCTTCTCCTCAGAGTGATTACGTAATGATCTCGTAAATCAGCCGTGTGTTAGGATGGGGTGCACGTGTGTCACAAACGAAAAATACAGTCAGGTTTCTAACACCATAGCAGAGGGGGAAATTAACCTTGCTTCCCGATTGATACTGCATGGAAATAGGAGCGGGGTCGGCAAATGAAGGGTGACAGAGATAGCCACTCTTCTTTGGAACAAGACCAAATTCAATGATGCTGTAGCTCATATAGCCATCGTCCAAAAAGCTAAGGTGGGACGTTATTATCATTACCGCTAACGGCAGCAAAGTAACGCATAACATAGCGAGTCTGAAACGCAGCACAGTGCATGCATCATCCCATGTCAACAGTTTGTAGACTATCAGAATGGTGCCTCAAAAATCAGGTGCATACTTACTGCCAATTGCCTTTGCACACAGCCCTTGGACACACTCAGACTCTTTTTGTTTCTATGACGCCCTAAGTTGGAGACGAGCTGTCTCAAGTATCAGCTGTGTTGCGTCTTGATCTTGCATTAGTCTCGGAAGCTTCTCGGAACTGTTTGGAGCAGGAAACCGCTCGCCAGTCTAGGCTTGCCCGCTAAATGAGTTTGTTGCTGGGTGATGTGGAGGGTATGTCTGGATTGGAACTACAAATGTCTGGGTGCGAGTGTTATATATATAGGAACTGTATGTAGGAATGTGTGTGGAAACTACTAAGAGCCAAGAGCATAGCTTTTTATGATCATAGCAGTAATGTTCTATGAGCACACAGTGCGAATAGTTGCGGTATGCTCTGGCCAACAAGCTCAAAACAACTGTCCAGAGCTCGCATCTTTTTTCTCTTGGCATCACATGGTATTTTCTACACATGCATGCCAAGATCAAACCCCTACTTGTTACATGTCAAGCTGGAAGCCATATCCAGTCTGCTATATACCATTAGCCAATAAAGGGTAACATAGCATAATAATTATAAGGGTAATACGTACCAAACTGGAGTGACACATAATAGCATGAGAGTGTTTTAGAGGTTTTGAGTGTTATCTGGCAACTATACAGTGTCAGGGAGAGTGTCTCCACAATTTGCACACTTTTGGCTTGCCAAGTGTTCGCCCACAAAGTGAGTACACTGGTTCGCCTGTAACTGAATGAGAATGTAATCTAACTTGATTAGCAATTGGATTTGCGAAGATGTAGAGGGCTCCCTGCACTATTATGCTGTAAAATGGAAACGCGCTAGCACTTGTTAAGTAAGAATATCCCTAGGGTATATAAGCTGTGTATGGTGTGCTTGATTCAATTATAGGTGATCTGAAAGCAGCAAGAGAGAAGAACAGGTGAAGAAGCAAATGCAATACCTATTGATATAGCAAGAGACTTTGAAGTAGAGAAGTTTGGTGCCAAAAGCGGAAATGCAAAGGAAAACTCTCACGCATTTATTGAACATATACTCATAGCACACACACATTGATAGTAGTAGCCAAGAAACAAATTGGTGGGCAGTCAGCTGACACTCCACCAGAGGAAGGCCAGTGAACTGACTGTTTGTACTAGTCTTTCACGGGATCATGTACTGCAACTATGGATGATGTACTGCTCAATACACCCCTCAATAGTGCTGGGTATAATGCCTACAAGTCAGTGGCCATAGTGTCCTCATTGTGCATAGGGCGCTGGTGGGAATTGATCTTTGCTTGCCGTGTCAGTTATGTAAGAACTACATAATTATGTAGGTAGCAGGATCATATGTAGCTCATATACACTGAGCCACATGATATGTAGGTAGCGTGATTGTTTATCTGGGCCATAATTATTGTAGAATCCAGGGGTGAACAAAATAAAGAAACACACCTTTTTTTATGCATACACCCCTTAGAGAATGGGAATCCGGTGCAAATGACATGAATTCTGGGGGGCAAGCCATATCTATACTTTCTCTTACTGGGAGGGGATGGAAATAGGATGACAGTTTAGTCACTACTACGACAAATGTTTTGAACATAGCTGCAGTGGAACAGATATAATGTGTGTGTGGTGGTTGGTGGAACATTTCTGTGTTGGATTTTTGCCAGATTCGGCCGCCTCCTAAAGCCTTACAGTTCTGTCGCATACCGCCACACACACACCTTTGATCTCCCTGAGTGAAATTCCACTCGATACAGTTGTGTTGAATGAGCTGTCTCAGTACACTGGCCTGGATAATGCCAAATCACGCCCCCTTGTGTTGTATACCAATATTGTACAAGTGTACATGTGTCCATGGAGGTGGTGATACATGTACTCTATTAATTTCTACCCCATAGATATTCTCTATACGTTGGCCTAAGTATGAAGTAGCTCCACGGCTATTTCACAGCGGTGAATGAAGGAGGCATTGGACTGTATGTAATATTGATGAGAACTTTCAGAATCACACAAGTTTCCACGAAATAAAAAAGATAAGCTAGTTGGTATGTGTCTCAACTGGTAAGTTGTGGGTGGAGGATCATATTTTATGCTTCAGTTGCTACATAAGGAGGTGAGCCAGCCGGCAAGAAACGTTCCAACCAAAATAAGTCTTTACTCTGTGTTCTGATGGTTGTTTACAGGCCAGGAATCTGTTCTATACAAAGGTACTGTACAATTCTTACATGCCTAACCTATGAGTAGGCAAGCAATCATCCACACAGGAAATTTTGACATAGTTTTGTTGAATCATGCATTACTTCCTACATACCATATTATTATACCACATTCATAAACCTTTTACCATGTCTATATACCACAGGGACACTTCCTCAGATCCAATTCTGTCACCCATTCAGCATCCATAATATTACAGGGTTGAACATAATTATTAGCATCTCCCTGTTTTTCACCCACACTCACACAAACGACACCATTATCACAGCTGAGTAGGTGGGGTTCTACACTATGTAATGTGATGTATTTCTACTCGTTTTTCAGATTACAAAGTGGATAATGAGAGCAGAGGAGCCGCCCTAGTCTGACACGTGGTCCAGACATGCCTGGGAATCCTGTGGGAGGGCACAAATTCCTAGCAGCAGCTCGGAAAATCAGGAGCTATGTTACAACACTGTCAACAGAGTGACAGAAGTGGAGGAGAGGGGGAGAATATAATGATGTAGCTATTTGAGATGCATTCCTGTACATCGGGCCACACCTGGGTGACTGTGGAGGATGGTCCGCACGCAATAACCACAGAAAACACTCTGTTTTCTTTACTCTGAGAAGAAGTGAGGAAGATTTCTTCTGATGGAGGAAGATGACAGATTTGCTGGACTAGTGAGATGAAAAGGGGCCGGCTGAAAAGTTACACACAGGGGTGGTCTCTATGTAGCAGTGCATGTGTGTAGCTAGCTAGTGTGGGACATGGTACAAAGCCTTTGTAATGCCAGAGAGTGCAGGGAAAACAGGAGAGCATGTGGTAGAACAACAGTGTGTAATTCTTTCATGTTAGGACACTCTGGCGGTGGTGGGCTTCACATTTACCACTGCCGTCTCTCACACACTCACACACTCACGTCAGGCCACCCAAGGGCTGCAGTGTACACACACATACCAGAAGGACTGCAGCGCCCGTGCCGTGTGTAACTGAAGCAGGTGCAAAATATTCTCCTCACAACACTGTGGATACTTTGTGTTACTATAGTAACACACCCACTACAGGCTTATTGCATTCCAGATGCACTCTGCGAGAATGTATTTCAACTCTGCCACACCACAAGCCCAGTGATGAGCATAGTTGGAAAAGCCATGGGACCATTTTAAAGAACATTTTCTTTCCCTATAAGAAAAGGGGAACTATAAGTGTATTGCCAAGTTTTTATCCACTAGCAACAGTAAAGGGGACAATTATACAGAAAAGTTTAAAGTGCCTCTCTGAGCCAGTCATTATATTATTTGATTGTAGTGAGAAAAACAAATCTTATAAATTTTGGGAGAATGTGTGAGTGTGTATACAACATCAGTAATGATCACAAAAGGAGGGATGAGTGTTTGGTGTGCGTGTGTGGAGTTTTCGTAGGTGTGTAAGTCCACAGTGTCCAGCAATAATCTCTTGTGCTGACCACAACGTGAAATTTCGTTAATGGATGGGGTGGAAGTGAGCTATTAGAAGAGGAAATGAGAGGGTGGAGTACACATAATGACAGGGGTGGCACAATACACATCACAACATGTGCGACTGGTGGTGGTCTAATAGAGAAGCTACAGTGACTATAGTGTACGTGTAGCATATTGTGAGCAGACTGTACAAGAATAATTATAGTCCAATGATTCTCTAGCTTAGAGAGTGCTGCAGGGGTGTGTATGTGTGGGGGGGCGTAACGTTTTCCTAGCCAACCTAGTTCTGGAGGGTCCTTTAGTCATTGCACGAAGATGAATGGGGAAAGCCTGCAGAAATGAGAGGGGAAAGACAGTCGATGGGGGTGGAAATGCAATCTAATGCACACAGCAGTATTATACACTTTACTTTATCTCAACATTATAAGATTTTCAAATCAACATGAATCACTTGTGGGTATAACACATGTATAGACGCGGGAGAATACAGAGAGAGAATTCAAAAGTCAGAGGACAGAGATGCTGGGAGTTGTTGGACCTGGAGTCAGTATCTCTGCCCCTGAGCTGTCCCCCAGACTGAAGCCGGAAGTCGAGTGGTTGTCGTCGCCGGGGGTGGGCGTGGTGGGGCTTGTCGCTGTCCCCGGCATCTGATCTTCTTCCTTCTTCATCCGCTTGTCCTTGGCCCGTCTGTTCTGAAACCACACCTGGATGACGCGCATGTCAAGCCCGGTGTCCTGCGACAGTTGCTCTCTGACGTGTCGAGAGGGTTTGGGGCTCTGACTGTAGGCGCTGCGCAGCGTCTCGAGCTGCTTGGCCGTTATTGTTGTTCTCGGTCTCTTCTGGTTACCATCTGGTGGTGGGAGGGGGGGAGAAGGGAGAGGAAGGACTCTGTTTGATACAGTCAAAAGCTAGACTACAGTCTGTCATTCCTAGACTACACCAACAGAGACTCTAAGTCAAGGACACACACTAGACTGATCACTCCCCTTGGGGTTATGGGTTATGTATGCATACATTATTATCCATGTCCTGTGATTATAGATGAGTTCATTTCCTAGGGCCTGACTGTTGCCATGAACACCAGACATAGGACACACAGCAGCAGAGCAGAGCAGAGCACTGCAGTTCTAGACAGTGTTGTGATGCATTATTGCATAACTGCATGTCCTCCGGCACACTTTAACACCCACCCACCCACGCCAAGTCTTGGGTAATGGGGCACAGTAGGTACAAACTACTGTGGTAGGTTTCTAAGACAACTGAACTCTGACCGGGCACCACAGCACTTCTTATATTACCATTGCATAGGAAAGCAGGGGCTTGGTCTGTTGCTGGGATAAATTAGCTAGGAACACCACATGACTACAGCCACACAATACAGGCAGAGACTAGCGGCAATAGTGGTTTCAATCAAACAACATATGCTGCTGCTTTTCCCCAATCAGTAGCGGTAGTACCCGCTCCTAAAGGGCCCGACTGGTGAGGCCTGATTGTGAGTGGCCCCTCTCAGCTTCACCCCTTCTCTACGCTATCCCAGGGCCAGAGGAATAACAATACCACACGACCTACCTACCACAACAATCAAGTTTTGCCACTGCACGGTAGATAGTACTAGTAGTAGCAGCATACCAGAGCATCAAACTGCTACGTAGGTGTAGCTACAGTGCATAAGAGTCTCAGCGACTGTACCTTACCCCCCTGGAAAAGAAAGCTGTGAGACACAAGCATGTACACTACTAGTTTATTGGTGCTATATGTTTTTCACTATAGGAGCAGTCTCCTCTGGGGCACTAATATACACTCAACATTGTAGGTAGCTACAGTATATACTTCACAACGCTGTGCTCACTGGATCATAAGGTGTTTTTTTTTTTATAGGTTCAGCTCTCTATAGCTATATCAGTCATGCATGAGTGGTGGGAGATACGAAATAAGTCTGGTGCAGAGAATCTTTCTGAGAAAATTTGTCAGACCAATTTCTGTTAGTCCCACTCCACTGAGCCTCAGCTCCAATAAACTGACTAAGGGTACAAAAGCTCCCACAGCTAAATCAGAGGCCAGCCCCTACATATGCCCAGGCCTTTACACGGGACACTACAAAGCGAGAAGGGCCGCCAAGGACCAGTGCAATAAAAAATTCACAGTTTATTCTGGCTCACTGCAAAAAGCGGGAGGCATAATGCTGCTAAGCCACCAAGCATTTGACACACACTCAACTCCATAGGGCAGGAAAGGATGAATGCCAAGGAACAACATTTTTGGACAAGCCACATCCTAGTTTACCAGCTCTAAAGGCGTGTGAAGTCAGGCACCAAGAGAGAGAGGTGTCCCCTTAATCAATGTAATCTCCTCAGGAATTCGGGCTCCTGTAGCGAACATTTCTTTATCTCTGGGATTACTGCTCATCTGGGTGTGAGTGCATTATCTCTGATAAGTTGTGTGAACTTGTCTTTCCTCTCACTAACCCAAGTATTACCCGAATTACCAGGAAAAGAGGATTTGGGAAGGTGGAAGTTGGCGCAACCATGAAGAAAGGGAAGGTAGTAGTAAGGCAAGGAGCAGCAGGAAGAAGGAAGGAGGGGGGGGGGCACCTAGATCTTATCCCACAGCGGATAAACTGGGTCCCCTAAGGACACACACACTCTAGCCCACCCTCTCTCATTGTTCACTGCTACACAAACCCCTCATAAAAATTTCACACCCAACCAAACTCCAAAATATCAAAGGCTCAGGCTGCCAACCCTCCTAATAGTCCAACAGCAGGCAAACACTGGACGCAGGGTGATTCTTACAAGCAAAACCAGCACTTACTAAAGGCAGTTGCAGGGAGATTTTTAAACCAGCACCTCCATTGATTCTCAGAGCAGCTACTTACGCAAGGGGGACAAGGTGGAACAATGCATATTTCGGGCAGCAAGTGATTCCCCATTAATGAACATTATACATAGCCTCCTCTTTTGCTGGCCTCTCACCAGACCCCAAAGTATGGAGGAGCACACGCTACCTGCTCAACTTGTCCTGGACCACATTATCAAGAGCCAAGAGGATCCCTCTCATGTGGCCAACTAACACAGAAACCCCACTCTCCTGTCACAGACATGGACATCCTTCTCAACTTCACCTTCCTTCAGGTTGCCATCTCCATACATGACTAACTAACTAACCATGGCCACACAATCAGTACACAGAGGCTAACCAACTAACCATCCCTAACAACCAGTCAACTAATGAGACATTCAATGCCATTTTCCCACCTTCTCACATTTCATTCTTTATTCCCTCAACCCTAAACGAGATAAATTTCTTACCCTTTACAAATGAGTTGAATAAGAGTTTTTAGCACGAAAGGAAATGAATATACAGGAAAAAACCAACAGGTCTTAGTCACCTCTTGCTTTTGCTGCTTCGTAGTCAGCCTTGCAAACTAGTTTCTTGTCGTCCATCAGGTAGAACTCGTCGCCCGTGGATAGTTGTCTGGAGCAGATGAAGCAGGCAAAGCACTGCAAGTGGTAGACGTTATCCTGGGCCCTTCTCACCACCTGAGTCGGCGGAATGGGCTGACTGCACCCCGCACACCGCGTCCCAAACCGTCTGTAACAGAGAAGGCGAAAAATGTCCAGGATCAACTTGAGAACGCTACAAATCGTCTATAATAGAGCATGCAAATTTATACTAAACTTGAGAGGATTACAGCTCATCCCAAATTTCTGCAACAGAGCAGGCCAAAAGTATTTAACATAATTATGTAGTAGTAGATAAACTTGAGAACGTTACCGTTACAGGCCCTCCCTCTTTGTTTGTTACAGAGCTAGTTATCATGTATGTAGATATGCCTTTCTGCTGACAATATAACTTGCTTGGAACAGAGGGACAAAATGGGGAATGGTGTGTGTGTGTGTGTTAGAGACAAATATTTTGCTAGGATATAGGGAGGAGGGAGTAGCTAAGGTGGCACAGACTACCAATCACATTCCTACACCTCTTCCTACATTCAGAGCGAGTGAGCTACTACTACCTCACTTGACACAGGAGAGGAAGTGGAACAAGCCTACTACCTGGATAACACTCATTCTTATCACCTATGCGCTACCCTAGCGAAAAAGGTGACCTCATTGGTTTTTGCCACCATCACCGCTACCAATTGGCTTGGGACACCCAAGGAATACTCCCCTCTTTGAACGGGAGCCAAAGCTGCAAGTGTTTCCTCCTCCCCAATAAGTCACACTGTTCACAGCTCCATGCAGATCCCCTTTCACCAGTATGATGTATTATATCTACTAGGGGCGCCAAAGCTCACATGCGCTCTGGTTCAAAGAGGTTTGCAAGGTCTTACTTTACACCTGAGTGACCCCCTCAGAGGATAGGCATTGACAGTTTGCATAGGATCCCTCTACCTGGCTAACAAAACTTTGTTAGTCTAACAACACAAATCTGCAGCACAGAGGGGGAGAACTTCAAAGGTAAAGGTCTCTGAGCATGTGCAGGAAAGGTATATACTAGCAAGTGACACATCACTCCTCCTACAACTTAGTGTAGCTAGCATGCACACAATTTCCATCCAACAGTGGGTCCAGAGGAGTGCAGAGGTGAGCCAAGACAAGGGTTTCCGTAATACTATACACCCACTTAAAATATGACAAGATTCCAAAGGCAGCCCCCACTATGCTCCAAGCCTGATAAGGATGAAGTGTAAAAAATTGATTGCCCTAGGGCCTTTTTACGGCATAGAGTTACCCTTTCTCACTGACTCTTGAACTTGGGGACAGGGAGGTTATCACAGAGCTATGTCAACAGTATAGCACTGGGCACGTCTGGGTAATTCTTGTGGCGACTATACATGTAGCCACACGCTGGGGACCCTTACTGGAAGCCCCAGCTTGGGCCCCCACCTTCTTCAAGTAGATCACACGTACATTCAACCACTGGCCACTATGACACACATCTTATCTCAGTGTACACAACAAACCTAGAGAAATCTTCTTTGCAAAAGACTAGTCCTTCCCTCGAGTAGCACTTGTCCGTGAGTAACATGTCACAGTCAGAGCATTTGAGGCACTTTGAGTGCCAGGGTTTGTCTAGGACTTTTTAGGATGAACCTGTCGACGATGGGGTGGGTACAGCCTGCACATATGGGCACTGTGGCTGCGTGAGGAGGGGGACAGGTGAGGAGAGAGAGGAAGGGAAGGAGGGGGAACAGGTGAGTAGAGAGAGGAAGGGAAGAGGACGGGGAGGGGGAGGAGAGGAGGAAGGGGAGAGAGACATGATGGTGCACACAGTGAAAGATAAAAAAGGATATGTACACAAAACTAGAGGGTTTCTTCATCAAAACTAAGTACAGTAACATAGTGCATGTACAGCCGCCAAGGAGGAAATATGTACCATTACCTCACCCCAGAGAAATGTGTCCAATCCTCACATTCGAGTAGTCCACACACACACCCCCGCACACGCGCACACACACACACACAGTGGGCAATATACACCAAGGATGTGCAGCTCTATAATACCCAATGGGAAAGGGACATTCAAGGTGGCTAGGGTGTAGCTCTGGGCCAATACTAGGGCCTGGCCAACAAGTAGGTGTCAGTACCCACAATATCTAGGGCGATACCCAAGCAATGAAAAGGTGCAAAATACTGATTGCTTCAAAAAATGCATCAGTAATCCTGCAGACAACATTTGCTAACCATTCTTGATCTTTTGTTTAAATGCTCAGGGAACAGCAAATACAAGAATGGATCTCTTTTTTCCCCTCACTACCACAGAAACTGAATGCAAATTTTAGCAGCATACAGTTTATGTGGGGGAATATGGAGGAGTATAGGTAAGTAAAAGGCATGGACATAGCCTGAAAGCAATAGAAGGTTGAATGCCCCTCAAATTATGGTTACCTAAGGTTGTCTCATAGGTAAGCCTCAGGCAGCTGACACTTTAGCTATTAACCTTTGACATACACCTTATAATTCCAATGTGCATCCTAGCCAGGACATGGAACACACCTACTGCCAATATCATATTAGTTTTTAGTTATTAGTTTTACATCATGGTGCGCACACATACAGTGAAAGATGGATCCATGGTCCAACAGTAATGTAAGTATATAACACAGAAAATAGATCAGATTATACACCAATTCCAGTTGAGAATAATGGTCTTTCAGGAACACATTGAAAAAAAAGACGCGCTGTAAAGTGAGATCCGATGATGATGCATTATTACACCTCAGAATACGGAACATCTCTGTACAACGATAGCATGGTCACAGTGTGCCACTACTTGGAGGTTCCACCGCTAGTCCTCTGGTAATATGCCGTAATAACTGGGTCTTACTCGCCAGCAGAGGCATAATGAACCCCAAGAGTGGGAACCACATAAAAGGGCTGGCACCAGAGCACACCAGGGGGACATAGTCCCTCTATCTCTTCATTTGTCCCCCTGAATATGCTTCCCAGGGGACACTTTGACCCCCAAATAGTAGGGGTCCTGTTATTGGGACCATCTTGCTAGTGAGGCTGATTGTCCCCCAGCAATAAATCTCTGGAGCTAGCTCTGCACATATCCACCACAGGACTTCAGTCAAAACAGTAGTCAACACATTCACACACACACACAAGTGCAACTGCCCTACAAAACTCCAGCACCAGAGAAACCTTACAGCTATGGTTCTGTATCAGATGCAACCCAGCTACAGCGGTATATATGTGCAAGCTGAACAGCTGGCAATAGATGTCTCTGGTCTTTAGGGCAATGAAAGCAACTTAGCGCTAACCTTTTGGGGTGAAACCCAATGAGCAACAAAGAAATTCATGCCCATCTACTTCAATTGGTGTTAAAGAGCCCCCACCACATAGTCACTTATTTATCACATCCCCACCCTTTCCACCTTCACACAATACATTCACAGTCCTACCTTGGAAGAGCAAAGCAGGCTTCAAGGACATACAAAGCCCTCAATATAAGATGCATAGTCCCCACTCTGCTCAGTAAAAGCTTCCATGGGCCAAAAGCTTACCCCAGGGTACAGAACTTTTACATCTTGAGAGAGAGAGTGGTTGTTGGGCCTGAGCCCCCATCAAAAGCTGCTGAGGGACTGGCAATACATTCTTTACCCCTCACATCTGGCCAGGCAATTAAAATTCAAAAACCAAAGGAATGATAATCACGTGATCAAGACAACTGCGGTACAATCAAGGGTGTGGCGGTACACCCAGAAAAAAGCAGCCTGTCTGAACCGGGCACAAGGCCCTGGGATTCCACACAGAGCTACACCCAGCTACAGAACAGGTCCTATCAAGCCCTATCACAGAGTGCTCAGTCCGCTGCTATATAAGCTCTCAGTATCACTCGGCTTTGTCGTTTATCAGAGAGCTGAAGCCCACAGAATCCCCACACACACACAGGCTTTAGTTCAAGGGAGGGAGGGTGAGGGATAAAACAACTGTCAAGAACCAATAGACCACGCTGCCTGCCTATAAACAGATCTGCCTTCCTATAACCAGATAAGCATCCTAAGACAACCAGATCAGATCGGCCTAGGGCCCAGATCACAAGATCGCTAGCGGATCTAAGTATGCAAGATATCGCATCCAGATGATGTACCGGCCAGTGTGCAATGCCTACAAAGGCCGAAACGGGAGACTGAGATTGGGAACTCAGGGGCATAGGAAGAGAGTGGCAAGTATTTAATTTGAGCTGGAATAGTATTTAATAGAGGCCGAACCTTGTCCCTGCGGCTGTTGTGTCTGTGGTTGCTGTGAGAACTCCATGCTGAAGGGATTTGGTGAGGGGGCCAGCTGGGCGGGTGAGGGCATCATGGTGGCTGCAGTCATGCTGGTGGCGGCTGCATTCACAGGGGGGCTAGTGTTCATTGGGGGCGGTCCAGTCAGCTGCTGCCGATGATAGAGTGCAGCAACACCTTCAGGCAGGGAGGAAAGGTGAGACATGCCCTTGTGAGTACAGGTGTAAATGGGCCGCTAAATAGGTAGCAGCCGTGGGCAGGTGGCTGCTGGGGCCCTGAGGAATGGTGCCTTCCGTTCTGTCTCCCCGCCAACATGCACTGAACTCCACGGACCCTACCTACACACACGCAACACTTAGACTCAAGGCAATCTAGCGCAGAAATCTGGGTGAGGCCAGAAACTCACGGAAAATCAGGTCACCCACTTCCTCCCAAGCGGCCAAAGCGTTTTCGTAACAATGAGAATTGCAGGGCTCTTATACGCAGGCTCGCCAACGCCCCTCAATCAATATTTCACACATTGGGTTCCCGTGCCGGGCGCACATTCGCTCGGAATTCCAATCTGCAATGCTATCACGAACCCTGGACCCATTCCATTGGGGTCGAAATTTCCAGCCCCCCTATAATTGTGCTGTCCAGCCACCATTTTTTCTGCGTACAGCAACCGAGGGCAGGCAAAAACAAGCAACATACAGCCAAACATCTCCACATCGTCTACATGCCCGATGACTATCAGGCCCCCCAGTGTCAGACTCCAGAAAAACCTGTCCAGATCACACAATACCCCCAAACAGACAATCTGTCAACCTCACATGCACAACGTCAGGACAACACTAGTCCGCAGAGATGCAGGACGCCGCTCCAGCTCTCTAAAAGGCTCACCTTGTCACTATCGTCCACTGCTGCAAGGCGGAGCTCCCTGCAGCCGAAATATCTGTAGTAACTTCTCACAAACTCGCTGCTCTACTAAGTCTCCCTAGCTGTTAGCTGCACACAAACATAGTGGAGAAGAAAGCAGCCAATAATCTCCAGCAGCATTACGATCATACAGCCACTCCTTTCAAGGTATATACCTTGGTAAATGATCGGGGTAGCTCTCAATCAATCAAATCACGTCGCCTTTTGGTCCGCGTATAATACAGTGACTTCTCCGCCGCCGCACAGTGTGTGTGTGTGTGTGCGTGTGTGTGTGCGCGCGACTCGACCTTCGACCCTGATTACGTCAATCCGAAGTTGCGGAAGTAGTCGAAGCTCTTCGAGTTCTTTGTCAGGCGTCCGAATATTGTATTTGCTCAGTGGTTAGCATAGAGCGGATAGTGGTGGCTACATACAGGTGAAATTCGCCTCGAGAGCGCCACAGTATATACAGTGGCGTGACGCGGAGAGACGCGCGGCATCGGTGGGCGGGGTATAACATGCGCGGGCGCGCGGGACCTTCGATCGTCGTTGTTGTTTAGTAGACGACGTATATACAGTACATCTTCTACTGCAGACCCTGCGTTAGCTCGTTGTTTGCATTCCTCGTGGATCATCCACTGCCAGGTAACGGAACGGTCAGTTTTTGCATCAATTTTAGCTTTGCAGCGAATGTGGAGCATTCATGAATAGTAATATTTTAACTGGATTTGAGATGTAGCTATCACGTTAGCCCACTGCAAATCTTCTTGCAAAGACCTCCACGTGTGAATATTAGCAATGGAGATTCCATCAAATATTAACACCTGAGTAGTTCCGTTTTGTGAGATACCATTGCCACCGGAAGTGTTTTACTCATCACCACATATAAGGGTTGGGTGCAGTTGGCCTTTTCCACTGTAAGTAGCCAAGGCTTGTACTCTGTACATGATGGTCAATTTGACTTCATTGCATCGATGCCTGTCTCAAAAATTAATGTGACTTCATAATTATCATGGCTGGTTTATGATCTGCTTAGCTAATCTTTATTGTATATAGCAATAAAATTCCTACATGGTACAGCATTTTTAATACTACCCCGACACGTCACGTGCCAAAATTTACTTTTAATTTTTAACGTGGGTCCTATCTGGTTTCTAAACCATCGTCCTAACCAACAGTATCGTAACTCCTTAACCAACGTCCCATCTCGCTCATGTCCTAACCGTTTCCTAACTAGCGTCCTAAATAGCAGGGCTTCACCCACAACATAGTGTGTTTGTATATCATATGTGTGTCTACAAGAAGGAACTACAGAGTGAGGTTATATGCTTGTCCTCTGGTTTGAAACCTAATGGACAAACAAAGGCGATATGTGCATGCTTATGGATACCTTATTCATGGCAATCTGATGCCTGCCATGATGCAATAAGGCCTGTGTAGCCTGTTGTTGGCACAAATCATATTTAGGCCAAGTTGAGCAACCGTGGCTGGTTGAATGCGCATTTACTGGAGTATTGTAAGTAGTTTTGAGGGCGAACACTTTGCGGAATTGACCAACAATCAGTAAGTAATAGCGAACTTTTCCTTGCCTGGAAGTTTTCAGCTAGTCTGGTTACGTGTGAGACTCTGTAGGGTTGCTTCACAGCACATGTGCTTGAAACTCAAAGAATTTCTGCCAGCATAGCCAAAAAGCTGTGTCTAATAGTTACGCAAACCCATGCATACGTATATAGTGTAAATTTGCATTGCAACACATCGTACGTCCTATCCATTTCTACTCCTTCCTATTGCCTTGTTCAGACTCGGAGCTAACGAAAAAGCAAAGAAGGTGTGTGTTTTACGGCGGATAACAAGTGTTTGTGTCAATCCAGACTTACAACCGACCTGGTGTAGGCCTCAAGGGAAAAACGTTTGACGAGCTATGAAGGCGGAAAACTTTTAATACAGAGTGTAATAACTACATCTGCCTTTTAACTCCTTCTTCCCTGTCAAACCTGGAGTCTAAGTACTAAGACGTTGTGTGCGCACTGTTTGGGGCAAGAAACTGTTTAGTGTGTCTACCAGTACACTAACAGTGCATGCATCCACATTGATGTGGAGTCTGGGGGATAAAGCGGTGTAACCAGGCAAAAGTTGGAAATCATCAACTTTTCCTTCATGGTTGGAAAATTTGTGAAAAGAGGTAACTTTAACATACTATTGTAGCAAGACTGTCACGAACCGTCACGTGTGTATTGCTCTCCACTCACATAATGATATGGTGAAGAGTGAAACATCAAAAAGCAGACAGCCCAGTCCCCCATAAGTATCCCCCTGCTTATCATGTACACTATCCCATTGTGGAAGAGTATTGCTGTTCCTGTATCATATCAAATTACTGGCATAGCTACATACCCAGCCCTCATTATTGAATGGATTACACGTGTACATACCCTGGGGCAGTCAAGGGAGAGGAAGTGGTGTGCTGTTGGTCATTTTGATGTCTTGCTGCCAGCTGTTGTCAGTATATACACGATTGCACGTCAAGACTGGAAACTTGACAATGAATACTACTGAATGGCCCAGCCCACATAGTGGGTGCCAGATTATTACCTACGTATGAAGAAGGTGAGGTCAACATATCAGCTTAGGATTTTGGGCCAATACCACAGTTGATATGGAGACCGAGCCTCTTCTGAATATATAATCAAGATGAAGCTTCTGGTGATCCCCTCCGGAAGGCAATGTAAAACACACAAATTCCATTTGCAACACCTGGTTAATCCAGTTCTGTTTATAGAAATAACACAGTCCGCAGCATAGTCACGTACCCAGACCCAACCAACCCTCAAGGGTCTAGTGACAATAAGCGATTTCTCGGTTGTGCTGAATAAGCTGTCATGTGGTTATTGTGTAATCACACGCAAGCGTAGTTTAGGTTCACTCGTGTGCACAAAGCTTCTTTTCCTGTGGTGACATGCTTACGTACGTGACATTCAGCAATTTTTTTGACTTGCCTAAAATGAGGACTGCTGATTCAATAAATCATTCAAATTTTACCAGGCCCTTTTTTTTTCTTTTGGGAGGTAGGGTCTAGGTATAGGATTACCCACAGTGCGTCCACATTCTTCGATCCCGCTACATTTTGGGTTAACCACATTTTGCCCTTGCCTATAATTCTTATGCTCTGGTGTGCAAGGCAACAGGTGTGCAAGGCTGCATGTTTGTGATGAGTCGGCAGAACCACTTTCACAGGAAACAACAAGCACGGTGTAAAGTGGTCTGCTGTCTCAACTTCTGGCAATATTATCGTCATTAGTCGGCGCAAAATTTCTCATTGTAAATGATACAACCGTAACACGGGTACACATCCCAGGTAATTCTAGGAAAAGTGTTTGGTTGGATATCTAACAATAGGTACGTATATCGACGTACCATAGCTACATGGCTGAATATTTTACGGTTAAATTCGAACCCAGTGACTGGGAGAAAACGTGAACTAAGCACTTAGCTATACTTCGCCCCTGGGTTTGTCCTTAGCTGTTTCCAGAGACTTACCACATGTGTTCCCGTCTACAAGTTGCACGGACTTAGGACTTGAACCCTAAAGTTAGGTTCACAATTCTATGTCGCAGTGCCCCGTTGGGAAGTACTGCGTCGCGTCATGTCGCTTTTTACGGGTGTCCAGACTGTCCTACTATAGGTGGGTGCCTGCCTTCCTGCCTGCATACAGGCTGTTAGTGTAATATAAGCAAACACATGTAGCCTCAGGGATCAGGTATGCATGTACTACCTAATGAAGGCCTGGCAGAGATGCACTCACTCCTCCACACACTACACAGGACGGCTCTCCAATAGCATGAAGCACACATTAATTCAATCAACTTGGGAGCCACAGGGGGGATTCCGGGAAAGGTGTACCGTCCCCCATATTAATTACTGCTCATCGACACTGATGCGACTAACTGTTCTCCAAAAGTCACAAAATATCAACAGTCTTTATGGGAAAATTTTTCTAGCAGAGAGTACTAGAGCGAATGCAACACGCTCGGCAGGTGAATCCATTTAGCTAGTGCCTAGTGACATTATTGAACCACTCTAGGTTATGTTTGCGTATATCTACTGCACAGTGTGACATGGGCTAATAACTTACGTAGCTTTGTCCTTTGTGACTCATTCTCCGCTGTTGTTTTTGTCTACATATATATATATAGCTAAGACATTATGTACTCACACAACCACGTGGCGGTGTGTGCGTTGCTGTCCGCAAGATGTTTAGTTGTTGTTTTT